TCAATGTGTTCGGGATGGCTGCGAGCCATTTCTAAATGTTTTTTTTTTCTATTTTTTTTTTCAACACTCATGAGACTCTACACACTTTTGATATCTTTTGATACTCATGAGACTCGTCTCTTTTTTGGTTCAACACGGACATTTTGGTGATGTTTTCCTGCTTTCGATGCCGATCTCGGATCCCTTTCGAGGAGATCCTTGTGGCCTACCGTCTAAAGGGAGACACACCTTCAGACTACCAGCCGCCACCCAGACGGCAGATTTGTGTGCGGCGCTTCTTCGAGGTGAACATGAAGGAGATGTACAGCGCTTCACCCACCCCTTGGCGAAACAGGGAGAAACAGGGAGACGGTGTCCCAACACTCTTCGCAGGGCGTTACGCCTTAAGGAGGGGCGGGTGAGCCCGAGAAACGCTGTTGAGGACATCAAGTTGGTGCTCCCGCAAGAAGCTTGGAGAATGCGTGGCAGACCTTTGGACATGATCAGGCCCCCAGACACCTGTGACGCAGACGCAAAGTGACATGTGTTTCAAATGCCAGTTTGGCAGGGCAGATCTCATCACCATGGTGGGCCTCTTTGGCGTTTCTTCCCATGTCCTGGCAAATACCAACAAGTTCTTTGACCGCAACACGTCTTCTCACCATACGTGTGAGAGAGAAAAAGAATGGGGCACGGGGTTTGGAAGATCGATTTGGGTTCCATCGCTATTCGTTTGGAGGCCATCGCTACTAGTAACAAGAAGCTACTAGTAGCAATAAGTTATGGGTAGACTGGTCGATTTCCAGCACCTTTGCAGAGGGTCATTTCCTGGGAGTCGTTATACTTTTATCTTATCATGAGGAAGTTAAGTTTCCACTGGGTGTGGTCAAAACAAAACTGTTTCTTTAACCCTTTCTTTTTTCTCCTAATTCTATTATTTTCCAACTTCCAATGCCAAGCCAAGCTTCATTCAGCTCATAATTTTGATCTACACCCATTTCCAGAATGTGCGTTGAGCACATTTTGCTGAGAAAACTCATTTGCGGTTCTGGGATCTCGAGGAAAACTGCGCTGCAAACACTTCACAGCCTGACGGGGTCTCACCGTCTCAGCGTCTCACCATGTTGAATGGTCCACTTGGAGGTCCTTTTCCGAAACAAGAACCAAACTGACTATCCAACTAGATACGATCTAACCGCACTAAACTCAATGTACCCTGATCTCTGAGGTGGTTGGCTGTTGCCACCTGGCTGGAAGAGAAGAACCCACGTTGGCCTGGAACTTGGGAATCAGCCACGGACAACATTTCAGGTGCCAGTGGTGCTTTTGAGCGTCCGTACCATCGCCAACTATCGGCGAGCCTCGGAGAGAAGCCTTCAGCAACGACTTGTCGAATGCACTAGTAACAAGTGCATCGCTACTAGAAACAAGTGCATCACTACTACACCTTTGGGACTCGTGGTAGGAGACTTTGGGTTGCCCCAAGTGAGAAACCCATCAGAATGCTGTGACGTCTCAGGAGTGAAGGTGGGTTCGATCCTTGGCTGCGAAGAACCGTTCGATCGGAAGGCGAAGGCCACATTCGGAACTGAAACGAAGCGGCTGTAACTCTTAAAGAATGAAAGCTCAGTTCTTCTTGCACGGTTCTTTGGTCTTCTTGCTCTGTTTGAGATGGTTTAATGTTTAAGAACTGGTGCATGCTGATGGCCTAGCTCTACTCAGAGTATAGGTATGCTGGTGGTATGCTGCTAGACTGTTACTCTTGAATGAAACCGCTGTAATTTGGGAATCACTTGACAAAACTTAAGTGGAACTCGAGGAAGTCTCGTGTAGATTCCATGCTTTTCGACCACTGCCTCGACAAGGATCTTGGGATGAGAGCATCATGTTGACTCGTGTGTTCAATCCAATTCAAGTCTGAAGCCGGAGTGCAATGCATCACGCATCAAGGATGCACCCTGTGACCTCACGCTGCTTTCAGATTTCACTTTCAATGGAAGGATGCTGCTTTGATGCGCTTGCTGCCAGATGCTGCTGAAGCACAAGTCTTCTCTGAGTGTGTGTGGGCCTCATGAGTCCCAAGCTTTGTGCAGAAAGCTGTCCTTGCACTTGCTGGTTTGGACTTTCCCTCGTTGCCTTAGCGAAATCCTCAAAATTATGACTTTTGATGACTTTTGTATGCGACTTAGCACATCTAGGTGGCTTTCCCAAAGTCAGATAACAAGAGCTGCTCGGAACAAGAAGCTACTAGGTTGGAGGCCATCGCTACTAGTAACGAGAGGCCACTAGTAACAAGGGCACACCTTGTCGACAAAGCAACTGAGTTTCGCTACGCCAGGCTCTCGCCTATTGGTCCTTGCTGGTTGGAGCTGCGGAAAGGTCCCGCCACCGCAGCGTTGTTGTTGTGGTGAGTTCTGCACCAGAGGTGGATCGAAAGAGAAGAAGACAATCCTCCAACATCAGACAGACAATGTCCGTTTATGTCCTATTCAGTCTTTGAGAAGAGCGCTGAGGAATGTCAGGACTGGGTCCCCCCGGCCAAACGCACACTCGAGATATGGTTCGTTAAGGCCAAAAAGCTCACTGTGACTCCGAGGGGTACACACAGACTTAGATAGAGAGCTCAACTGATTGAGCATAAGTTGTGAAGGTGACTCACGGATTCATTAGCACTTTAATGCACTAGACGATTAGCTACTGCAAAACAAAGAAGGAGACAGCTTTGGCTATACTTAGGTTCACGGATGCATTAGCACTTTCATGCACCAGGCGATTGCTGCGAAACAAAGAAGGAGACAGCTTTGGCTATACTTAGGTTGACACTTTAGAATATGAATTCAATTTGATAAAGAAAATCCAGAACAAAAAAAGGTACATGAACCACCAAAAAACAAACCAGGGGACCACAGCAACTAATCAACAGTGAAAACCAAAGCAGGTATGTGTGCACCTCCCTGGTGCGCGGTCTTCGTTGGCCAGGACGCGCGCCAGGGAGTCCTTGGCCCCCTGCTAGAAAAGCGCAAGCCGTAAGAACTAAACCCTTGAGAGGGTGTGTGTGTGTGTGTGCGTGTATCTGCGCTTCAAGGTTTAAGCACTGCGCCTGCCACGAAACCTGCGCTTCACAAGCTCCAGTGCCGCGCCTGCCACGAAATCTGCGCATCAAGATTCACATGGCGCATCCCTGCCAAGAGCACTTCCAAAACAAGCTTTCGCTCGAGCCTTCCTCCGATTTCTGAAAACGAACCACATGTCACACGTCCAAAGGTCAGGGTTCACCTGCCACGAAATCAGAGGGCTCCGAAGACCGCCTCCATGTCCAAAGCGCATGCGCCTGCCACGAAATCTGCGCATCGAAGTAAAGCCGCTCCAATCTCCTGCGCCTGCCAGTAAAATGCTGACGTTGGACGGGCGAGAGCACGAGGTTTACCTTGCGCCTGTCACGAAAGGTGACCACCAAGTCCAACAGCGTGTGCGGCACCACGCGCTCAGCAGATTCTGCGAGCCTGCGCAGTTGAAATGCACTTCGCAATCTCGAGGTGAATGAATGCACTGTAACCGGCGAATAATTAGCCGGACACGCCGATGAGAACCTCCGATCAGACACCCGGCTTTTGTATGCTTTTGTTAGTGTGGCCGCACTGTTTGGGGAACCATGCCAATCCTGTCTCGGAAAATTAGGTTCCGGTGTAAAGAAGTGTGGCAGGGAATAGGACCCAAGATCGCAGCTTGAATCTATTACTCACTTTTTTCGCCTTTGACTTTTCTTTTTGAAAAAATCTGTGAATGTGCTGAGCCCTGCCGGTTCGGTCCAGCAACGGCTCGAGCGCTGCGCGGCAGCTCGGGACTTCGACGGGCGCCATGCTCCTTGGACTTGTTGGCATAGTAAAAATGGCTTCTTGTTACTACTAGTAAGGCCAGGAGCTACTAGTAGCGTCCTTGCTCCTAGTAGCGATGCCCTTTGTTACTAGTAGCTTCTTGTTACTACTAGTAAGGCACTTGTTACTAGAAACGATGCACTTGTTCCTAATAGACTGTTTGTGTTTGTTGTCTAGCTGTGTTTATGCGGGTCTTTGCCAAAGACAATTTTCGCATAGGTGGATGATATGCTCTTCCTTTTACATTGCATAGTGTTTGAGGTGTTGCTTGATGTTGTTGCAAACAAATTGGTCATCCGTGCATTTTCCCCACTTTATCGTGCATTTGATCTCTCCTTGGACGTTTGACACATTTCCTTCCGTGGGGCGGCGCTAAGGGCCTATCGCCCCGGTGGTGTGCCGTTGGGAGGAGACAGGTTCGACAGGTCTGACATCATCCAGGTCCCCGGCGGGCCTGCGCCCTGGGGACAGGTGGTGCGCAGGGACGACAGTGACGACGAGGTTGATCTGGGTTCCACTGTCTCGGCTGCGGGGACGCGCTTTCACTTCGGAGACTTTGGCCACTCAGACGAAGATTTACACGGTCTTGTTTTACATGGGCATTGCCAGCATGGAGCTACCTTAGGCACAAAACCTTTTGAACAAACACAATTACCGGGTTGTTTGTGTGTGTATGATTGTGCCTGCAGAGTCTTGGATTTGTTTTAGTTCAACCATCCATCTTGCATATCAGCTGCTTCCACTGAGATGTGGATTCCGTTTGCCAAAGCCGTGCTGGCAAGATCGGCGGTGGATGCTGCTGCTGCCTCTTCCTGGTTCTGCTCATTATGTGTTTTGGTTACGAAAAGAGTCTGCATGTTTTTTGCTCCAATTCTCCAAGTGGAGCCGAGGCTTCTATCCTCCTTTAAAGGCGGGAGGGCGGATGCAAATGAAGGACAACCATTTGGCATATAGAGTAAGATCTGGGATATCCAGAGATATGGAGCATCCTGAGGACAAAACCCCAAGCACAAGTCCAGTGCAAATGATCTAGTTTCGATGAACGGTTTGGCTTGGAGGCTGTTTCTAAGATGGGAGGGCCAACATCATCTTCCATTCTTCTTTGTTTCTAAGAGCGATGGCCTCCAACCTAATAGCAAACTATATTAGACCGTTCTTTTCTTTTAGAGTCTGAACCTCATAGTGAGGTCCAAGAGTGTTTTCAGGCCTGCATGCCACTCACTTTGGGATCCTGCGAAATTCTGCTTGAAGCTCAGCGTGCGACTTTTGTTTGGCTTAGAGATCGGCCGGGTAAAGGAGGACTTGTAGGAGTTCTGAACCACCAAAACCACCTTGGTATGTACACTAGATACCGTACAAAAGACCCCTTAGTGAGTACTTACCGGCCTTGATTTCATTCCACTGCGTGTCACTAGAGTCACTTGACTCTGACATACTTTGACTATTGTCTACTTCTAACATCTTCAAACTGGTCGAATGATTGTGTGTTGCACAGTAGGATTGGCCGACATATGGATGCGTTTGTTTCCGGAGCTTTGGTGAGTTGACCGTCGTGTCATGCTGAGTTGACCGGCGTTGTCAGCTATGGTGCTACCTACCAGGGTGGCCGGAACTTTATTGGCCGCAGCCTGAGTTGAAGATCTCTAGACATTTAGGCCATGTACCCAGGTAGTACCAGGTACAAAGGAACTCGGCAGCTTCTATGCTAGGACGAAGGGCACAGGGCACATCTTATGATATTTTATGGCTCTGGTTCTTCAAGGCCTTAGGTCTTAGGAGGTCTAACACCGGAGTTGATTCTAACACCGGAGCGTTGAGAGATGGTCAGCAAGCTTCCACACGAAAAGACTGACATCTAAGTTTCGAGGAATTCAAAAAAGATACGACCACTTGGGGAATACAAGAAATCGAAAAGAAGCGAGAAAATGCGAACCATGAACAGCAATGTGCTATTTGTATATCTTGTTGCTTTGTTTATTTTTTTCGTAGTAGTTTTTAATCAAAACAAGACTGCAAACACTCACTTGTGATTTTCGCATGTCTTCTCGTTTTTGTTTGTATACTTTTACGACGAAAACACAACTGTTGACAATACGGAAAAACACAAAAAACATATATCGCTGTTCATGGTTTGCATCTTTCATACTTGTTTCGTTTTCTGAAGACGCGTCGTGCTGTTTTTGTATGTTATTCAAATAAACAACAATAATGTATCAAGAAAACAGCAAGCTTGAGGAGTTCGTATGTCTCAACCTCGAGCGGTTCAGATACCTTTGGCGCCTGAGGCTTCTGGAACGACTACTTGATTTTCCCTGCAACTATACAGTGCTAGGCCTAGGAACTGTTCTCGGAGTGTTCCGACGATGGCAAGGCAGCTTCCACACCTTCAGATGGCCGCTGTGTTCCAACCATGGATTTACACTTGTTCTACGTTGTGCTAGTAACAAGAAGCCACTAGTAACAAAGGTCATCGCTACTAGGCGCAAGGACGCTACTAGTAGCTCCTGGCATTACTACGAGTAACAAGAAGCTACTAGTAACAAAAGGCGTCGCTCCTAGGAGCAAGGACGCTACCAGTAGCTCCTGGCATGACTACTAGTAACAAGAAGCTACTAGAAACAAAGGGCATCGCTACTAGGAGAGAGGACGCTACTAGTAGCTCCTGGCATTACTACTAGTAACAAGAAGCTACTAGTCGCAAAGGGCATGGCTACTAATAGGTCCTGGCATGACTACTAGCAACAAGAAGCTACTAGTAACAAAGGGCATCGCTACTAGGAGCAAGGACGCTACTAGTGCATGACTACTAGTAACAAGAAGCTACTAGTAGCAAAGGGCATCGCTACTAGGCGCAAGGAGGCTACTAGTAGCTCCTGGCAATACTACGAGTAACAAGACGCTACTAGTAGCTCCCGGCATGACTACTAGTAACAAGAAGCTACTAGTACCCAAGAGCATCGCTACTAGGAGCAAGGAAGCTACTTCAAACAAAGGGCATCGCTACTAGGAGCAAAGACGCTACGAGTAGCTCCTGGCATGACCACTAGTAATAAGAAGCTACTAGTAACAAAGGGCATCGCTACTAGGCGCAAGGACGATACTAGTAGCTCCTGGCATTACTACGAGTAACAAGAAGCTGCTAGTAACAAGGGGCATCGCTACTAGGCACAAGGACGCTACTAATAGCTCCTGGCATTACTACGAGTAACAAGAAGCTACAAAGGGCATGGCTACTGAGCGCAATGACGCCAGTAGCTCCCGGCAATAATACGAGTAACAAGAAGCTACTAGTAACAAAGGGCATCGCTACTAAGCGCAAGGACGCTACTAGTAGCTCCTGGCAGTACTACGAGTAACAAGAAGCTACTAGTAACAAAGGGCATCGCTACTAGGCACAAGGACGCTACTAGTAGCTCCTGGCATTACTACGAGTATCAAGAAGCTACTAGTAACCAAGGGCATCGCTACTAGGAGCAAGGACGTTATTAGTAGCTCCTGGCATTA